TTACTGTCATTAGTATATAATTATTTTTATATGGGCGTATCGTTGATGTTTTCGAAAAAGGTAAGGTGGAGATATGTTATGACTTTAAGAGCTTTTTATGATGTTATATTATTATTGTTTAAATCAGATTGAAATATATTTTATTTAGGTTTTGTGTATCTTTTTTGTCATTTATTGCGTTGGTGTTTCTTTTTATTTCTATTGATTCGTATATCTCCCTCTTCTTTTTTGTTTTTTTCTGTTTTTAAAATTCTGATGTTTTCAAAATCAAATTTATGCTTCTTCCCGCTTTCATGTTTTGTGAGCGCAGTGACGTTGTTCTTGTCGTATTTGTGAGAACGAATTCTGGATTGAAGCAGTTGACTAATTTGACTGATATAGACACCTTCACAGTTAGTACATGGTATCTCGTAAACAACATGTGATTTTTTAAGTTTTGGAGTTTGTGTTTTTAGTTTTGTGAAATATTTATTTAAGAGATTGTTGCCTTTGTGGGCCACTGTTATATTATGTTTGGCTAAAAGATTTGTTAGTTGTTCAGATAAACCTTTTATATATGGAAGAGTTGTATAAGTGGTTTTGATACTGTTGGGTTTGTTGTTAGTTGTATTGTTATAAAATTTATTGAGTCTTGATTTGAAAATAGTTTCGATTAGATGTTCGGGATATGCATTCTTTAGGAGGGCATTTTTTGCTTTTTTTTATTGCAGTTGGTCTGTATTCTGGATCTGTTAGTTTTATAGATTTATCAGCGAGACTTATAATTACAGACTTCTTATGGGAAAATGGATGATGGGAATTGTAGTTAAGATATCGTGAAGACCATGTTTCTTTTGTAAACCACATAGTTTTAACTGTATTGTTAATGCGATGTAAGGTGACATCCAGAAAGTTTATTTTATTATTTTGTTCAATTTCTATAGTGAACTTTAATTTTGGATGGTAACTGTTGAAAATATCTAAAATTTCGGTTGTTTTGTTTGTTGGAATAGCACAGACACAGTTATCGATATAGCGGTAGAAGAATGGTACATTAAAATCTAAGTGACTCATGACAGATTCTTCTAAGTCTTCCAGAACCAGTTGGGCAATGACACTAGAGATACTTGCACCCATTGCGCATCCATCCATTTGTTGGTATATTTCGTCTTTATATAAAAAGTATGTTGAGTTTAACGTTAACTCTACAGATGATTGGAATTCTTGCAGTGGGATGTTAGTGTATTCTTTTATGTCATTCCATTTCTTTTTAATGATGTCAATTGCAAGTTTTATTGGGATGTTAGTGTATAGTAAACATAATATAACAGTGGCCCACAAAGGCAACAATCTCTTAAATGAATATTTCCCAAAACTAAAAACACAACTCCAAAAAAATCACATGTTGTTTACGAGATACCATGTACTAACTGTGAAGGTGTCTATATCGGTCAAACCAGTCAACTGCTTCAATCCAGAATTCGTTCTCACAAATACGACAAGAACAACGTCACTGCGCTCACAAAACATGAAAGCGGAAAGAAGCATAAATTTGATTTTGAAAACATCAGAATTTTAAAAACAGAAAAAAACAAAAAGAAGAGGGAGATATACGAATCAATAGAAATAAAAAGAAACACCAACGCAATAAATGACAAAAAAGATACACAAAACCTAAATAAAATATATTTCAATCTGATTTAAACAATAATAATATAACATCATAAAAAGCTCTTAAAGTCATAACATATCTCCACCTTACCTTTTTCGAAAACATCAACGATACGCCCATATAAAAATAATTATATACTAATGACAGTAAACAATGAAATATCAGATATCAACTTTTATATGTCAGTTTGTTAATGTCTGTGTCACGTTTTACGTTTTGGTAAGTCATATATATACACATATTTTACAATATCTGTTTGTCCTTATATATATACACATTTTAGAATCTTGACAAAGGCAAGGGTTTCCTGCCGAAACGTTGATTGATTACAATGGAAAATAAAATCTAGTTCCACATGTAACATATCTTTATTGAACCTAAACCCAAGAAACATTAATTTTATAATAAATATAATACGGTTCAAGAAACTCAAAACTACAATATATATATATATATATATATATATATATATATATATATATATATATATATATATATATATATATATAGTCCCAAGATTCCTAAGAGGAACATAGGGCTTCCACAAAGTGTCTCCAGCGAACTCTATTTCTGGCTAGGGCTTTGATTTCAAGCCAGGATTTTCCCATTTTTCTCTCTTCGTCCAGTACTGTCCTTCTCCAAGTTTCCTTAGGTCTGCCTACTTTCCGTCGGCCTTGGGGATTCCAATCCAGCGCTGTCCTGGCAATGTCAATTGGCGGTCTACGGAGTGTGTGGCCCAGCCATCTCCATTTTCTTCGCCTTATTTGCTTTATGACATTTTCTTGGTTGCTTTGGTTCCATAAATTTTCATTGGAGATTCGGTTAGGCCAAAATATACGAAGGATTTTTCGTAACGCTCTATTGATGAAAACTTGTAATTGGTGTACTATGGGTGCTGATATCTTCCACGTTTCGCAGCCATACAGTAATACAGCTTTTACTTTTGCGTTGAAGATTTTTAATTTCGTTTTAGTTGGGTAAATCCTGGATTTCCATATGTTGTTAAGCATGTTGTAGGCCTTATTTATTCTTTCATGTACATTACGCTCTGTGTCCCCATTACAGTCAATTATGCTGCCCAGATATACAAATTCCGCTACTCTCTCAATTTTCTGGTCTTTGATCATAATAGGTTGATTGTTTCTGGTACCAAATCGCATTTCTTTGGTTTTGTTGATGTTTATTTCTAGACCAACCTTCTTTGATTCTTCTTGTACTTTGTTTACTTGGAGTTGCATGTCCTGTTTTGTATGTGCTAGGAGGTATATATCATCAGCGTAATCTAGGTCTTCCAGTCTGTTTGTTAATCCCCAGTAAATTCCTCTATTAGAGTTTACCTTTGTTAGTACGGAGTCCAGTACAATGTTAAATAGTATGGGGGATAAAACACAGCCCTGCTTTACTCCGTTTAGTATAGCTATTGGGTCAGATGTTATGCCGTTGTGTAGGATTTTGCTTTCTGTGTCACTGTAGAGTTCTTTGATGAGATTTACTATTTTTTCTGGTATTCCTATTTCCTGCAGTGCTTTCCATATGGCCGTATGTGTGAGCGTGTCAAAAGCTCTCTTGAAGTCCACAAAGCACACAAAGAGAGGAGAGTTGAATTCCTGTGACTATTCTACAATTATTCTTAGTGTGTTAATTTGGTCCACGCATGATCTGTTTGGTCTGAAACCGGCTTGTTCCTTCCTCAACATTGGTTCTACACTGTTTGTTAGTCGGTTGTTTATAATTATTGCTGTTAATTTATTTATAGTATTCAGAAGTGTGATTCCTCTCCAGTTTTCGCAATATCTTCTGTCACCCTTTTTTGGTATCTTTATTATTTATCCTGTTTTCCATTCTTTGGGGAACTTTTCCTCTCTCCAAGCCCTTTTCAAGATTGGTTGGATTAGCTCTGCCACTCTACCTGGGCAAGCTTTTAACAATTCTGGTGGAATATTGTCAGGGCCAATATAACATTACTTACTTTAGGCAAAAAATGAAAAAAACTAAAAAATATGTATTTTGCATCTATAAACGCTCATAAATAAACAATAACCAAAACTTTTTTGTTGGATGAACCGGGGGATTGCTCCTGAGGTTGCCCTTTATAGCCTAGGCCACATTACATAAATTCCTGAACGACAGTGTAAAATCAGCCATTCTTCCCCCACAGCCTGGGCTAAGTAGTCACCCCTAGCCCTTATGCAAGCTTTAATTAGCGTGTAGATGCTTCTAAACAAATTGTCATTGCCAGTTACATTTTTAGAACAATTAAGAGTAACTCAACGGGTCATGGAGAGGGCTATATTAAATATAAGCCTCAGAGACAAAATTCCTAACACCGAAATACTTCGAAGAACTAAAGTAACCGACATTATGGGAAAAATAGCGACATTGAGATGGCAATGGGTAGCACATGTAGCAAGACAAGACACCAACAGATGGTCTCATAAAGTGACATTCTGGAGACCTCGAGAAACAAAAAAGAAGCGTGGGAAGACCCAAAAAGAGATGGATAGACGATATAACAACTGTAGCTGGAAAACAGTGGATGATAATTGCAAAAGATAGGAATGCGTGGAAGCAATTGGAGGAGGCCTATATCCAACAATGGATAAATGAAGTCTGAAGAAGAAGAAGAAGATATACATTTTTTCACAAATTTGAATGCCTCCCCAGGACATGACACTTCCTTCTTTATATCTGTGAAGAGATCTGGTAGTTTTTGTTCTTGCTCGTCTTCCTCTTCTCTAACTGCACGAATTCGTAGTTCATCTGATTTTACACAAATCTTGGTTTCGTCTGAAAATAGCACATTTTGCCAATTACCAATGTGTCAGTTTTGGTGTTAAAGACACCAATTTAGGCGATCAATTTTGTGCTGATTTCATAACTCGGAAACCAGTAACTGTCTACTTCTGTATTTGCTTAGGACATGAAGTCTTTTTTCTATCGTTTCAACTGAAATACTTACAACTGTAGCTTCCAAAAGTTGCCTTTTTAGCTACGGGTGAGAAATTATTGGGTTTCTTCTAGCTACTTCTAGTATTGTTGAAAATATGTAGTGATGTTAAAAAGTGTTCAACAGATACCCTGCATGGCAACGTAAGACTCCCAATAGGCGTAGTTGCTGACCCTCAGACCATGTTTGAATGGGTTCTAAATGGCAACGTTTATTCATTCAGACATGATCTGAATGTCAGCAATGAGTCATATTGGGAGGCTTAACATCACAACATATTTTCAACAATAATAAAACACATAACAAATTTTGTAACATTTTAAGAGTTTTTACTCACTTACTTATAGTATTAGAAGGCTTATATATAGATAATAACAATGTATATATCTGTTTGTCTTGCAGAACATGATGTCACAGTCTGGAAACATCGTTCCAGCAGATTCAAGAATAGGAGTAGGATCTGTGGAAGTAGTAACCCCGTTGGCGATGGGTGAGGTATCAAAATCGAAGAAATCATCTATAGTAGTGCCGCCTTTTAGACCGATTCCACCTGCCGAGGAAAGATTTTCGGGCAACAAAGCACCAACAGCTGTTCAAGGTAACTATAATAAATGTTATTCAATAATTCCTTTTATAAGCAACTTTTGATTTCGAAAAATAGTTATTTTTAATATTGGTAAATCCAAAAACTTATTTTGTGAAACGTAATAAGTATTTCCATGATATGAATACAGAAAATGAAATTCCAATCTCGAAAAAAAAAAACGGAGCTTAAACAGTTGTCCCCTTCACTTTCCTATGTTGATCTTTCCAAAGTACTTTCGTTTCGAAGGGCTGTAAGTTTCGAAAAATTAAATGAATTTTATAGCTATAAGTTTCAATATACAGTTCAAATTTTCATTCAAAACTTGTGCAAATTTTACTTCTTAATGTTTATAAACAATGGAGATATGATTTTTTTAAAAATAGTCCCTAACTCCGTTTCTATTGGTCATATAAGTTTTTTTTTATTTGAGTTTTTTTACCAATTATCCAATGGTTGTACATATGTAAGTATGTACCTTGATAAATATAGAAGTTATTACAATTGGTTATAAGTAAAAAACATACCTCTTTTCCAAACGTTTATTTTGTAAATAATTTCGATGAAAACACAATATGCATTTAACTTTTGAGATAGTTTAAGTCTTAAAGAATCCTATGAAATTTTCTAAATGTGTCTAGCATCATTAATAGAGCAAGTTCAATAGTTTAGCCTCAAGTATAAATAAATTAAATAACTCTTAAGCTATTTGACCGATCGGCGGGAAATTTCGCACAAATTAACGACAGTAATTCCTGGATGTTCCAATGTATTAATAATATTTCATTTTGTTAATAAATATAAGTAAGCAGGAATGGATGAATAAATATGATCATCCACCAAGGGATTTTTCTATAAAGACATTCAGCTGAAAATTCCTACCAAACCATGGCTCTGTAATTTTATAACAAAAAAAGATGCAATCAGAATTATCTGTAGAATTCGATTCAATCATTCCCTAGCACCATCTCACTTATTTAAATTAAAAATTGTAAATTCCCCAAACTGCGAATGTGGAGAATATGGCACACTAGAACATATGATATTAAATTGTAGTAGAAATAGAATAAAGACCAATATTTTTATGGACCCATCTTTTACCAACGGTAAGAAAAACGAATATAATTTCACAAAATTAGTTTTATTCGTTAAAGTAAAGCCTAATTAAGAAAAAAAAATTAACAAAAAAATTTTTGATGTCCTTAACTTACAAAAAAAACACTGGTGCGTATACGCACCACTGGCTAAATCCGTTAACAATGGTATTGTGAAAAACAGTTGGCGTGCAAATGAACTTTGCACTTTTGGCACGTATATACTGTATGATTATGACATACTCTGCAACGTCTACGCTTTTCTTGCTTAAAAATAACGTGATCCAGATGATCTGTGCGAAATTCATTTGGTACATTCACTGGAGCCGCATGAGATTCTCTGGTATTTTCGAATTTCAAAAGTCGCAAAGCTAGGTAAGATCTAAAGTCGATTTGCGACATTTTATCATGATTTGCTATATTATATATTTTCCACGAATTCACGATCATATTATCTAAGACATTTTTAAATAAGGGCCACCACCACTTCTTACCCATAACCGCTATCCGGTAGTTGGAGACACCATTGTCGTGTAAATCTACACCACCCATGTTTTTATTATATTGGTAAATCACTGCAGGCTGTGGCACACTAACAATTTTTTTTTGTGGTCGGCTGTATCTCCTTGCAGTTGCCAATGGTTCAATATGGTAATGAGTGCTAATCAATGTAACTATTGAGTTATCGTGCCATCTTACTAAAGAAATGTGCGTATTCTCCTCAAAATAAGAGTCATAACAACCCCTAGGGCTTTTTTTCATAACGTTTGCACATTGTAAAGGACACCCTTCTGTTCTATCTGCTCTTATCGTGCCTGTTGCAAAAAAAACTTGTTCTTTCAGTGTTCGAAATAAACCATAGGATGAGAAGAAATTGTCGAAAAATATGTTGTGATTCTTCTTATTTTTTATAATTGATAATAAATCCAGAACAACTCTGGTACCCAATGTTTGTTTTTTGTCCACTGGCTCAGCAGATGCACCTTGATAGGGCACAAATTTGTACATATATCCCTCGCTAGAACAAATACACCAAAGTTTAAAACCAAACCTTACTGGTTTGCCTTTTATAAACATTTTACACGAGTGTCGTCCAAAGTATGGAACCATTTCTTCGTCTATAGATATGTTGTGTGAGAACACTCCAAATTGCATGAACTTTTCATTCGTTTTGTCAAAAAATGGGCGCAATTTACAAAACTTATCACTTGTATCAAGCTGTCCACTGTCACTTAAATGCAAATTGCGTTTTATGGAGGTAAATTTGTTACGGCTCATGCAGTCTTTTACCACCTGTACCCCTTTATCTTCGTCAAGTGACCAATACATGTGAGTTTGAGGTAAGGTGTGGTATCCCGATAAAATTAAAATTCCAATGAAGTTGAGAAGGTCTTTTTTAGTTAGACTAAAATCATGTCTGTTATTGGCATAAGCATATTGTAAAGAATATTGAACAATCATATCTTGAATATCTAAGTCAAAAAATAAAAAGAAAATTTCTAATGGTGTCAGTCCTTCCAAAGCCTTCAGAGATTCAGTAGATGCTTTTTCGTTTGATTCAGGCAACTGCTTATGTAAAAATTGACCTTGTTTCCACTTGGGACTCTCTTTCACATTTTTTTCTTTCTTACTTCTTGATTTACTGTTTGTTGGTAACGAATTGTCACTCGATTCCGCTACGAAACGCAAATCTTCTCCTACATCATGTAAATCTTCCTCTCTAGTGTGGATTTCAAATGTGCCGGCAATATCTTTATTGTGGCCCGTAAATTCATTTCCAATTCCCTCTGGATCTGGAATATCTTCCTCATCAGTTAATTCATTCACGTCTGGTGGAATATAAACAATATCTATTTCACCTAAAAATTACAGATGCTGCAGCATGCATACAAGATAATGTAAAATAAAAATACGTACGATCATTTTCCAACTCAGCAACTACCTCCTCTAAAGCTGCTTCAAGCTGTTGTTGTGTAAGAAATTTGGGCATGATTATAATAAGAATAGAACAATTTTTGATAACCAACTATAAAACATAAGAATCTCAACTCAACGGCGCCGGCGTTTGTAACAAACAAGACTAATAATCACAGACAGAGACAACATTTCAGTAAGATCCTTCAAGGCCAAATCCAATAACACTGATAGTGGGGACGAACTACATATTTAGCCAGTGGTGCGCTAACGCACCAGTTGTGTTTAGGGTAACATTATAAAAAAAATTGAAAAGATACAAACATTTCCTCGTATAGTATTATAACTTCAGTCTTTCCTGTTACTAATTTCAGCATATTTTTTACATATACAAAAAATCAATAGTTTAAAACAAATGTCAAAGATGGACGTACGGATAACACCAATTTTACTAATTTTTGAATATTGATTGGAGACTTATTTTATTTCGTAGGCAACAGGGCATATTTTTTATGAGTTGTCTGTAACTTCAAAAATCAACTGAATTTATAAAAATTTCAAAATATTTGACTACTGTGGTAAAGAAAAAATTAAAACTGAACTGGTGCGTTAACGCACCAATGGTAAAAGATGGGATAGAATAAAGACCAATATTTTTATGGAAACCATTATGAAAATAAAAATTTTAGAAAAACTCATCAACCTTTATGGGTTCATAGTTTCTAACAATTTAAAAGTTTATAAGTTGCTGTATCAATACATAATCAGTTTAAAAATAAGAATATGAAACAATAATTTATAAAGACCAATCCATACCAAAACTTGTATATAAATGAAAAAAGAAAAAAAAACAATAAAAAAAATATATAACAAGATAAAAAAAAAGCATTTTAACAATAAAAATATATATATTATATATATATATATATTATATATATATATATATATATATATATATTAAACAATATTAATAAAAGAAATACAGAAAAAATATTAAAAATATTAACAAAAAAAAAAAAAATAAATAAAAAATATGATGTTTGTAAATTTACCAATTGTATAATGTAGAATTTTTAACGTAGTGATATTGTTTTAAAAATATTAATAATGTAAATTTTAAATATTAATAGATTTTATTTTAATCATTGTTAAGAATCAAAGTCAAACATGATTAGGCGAATGAAACCATAGGTTCCGCAGTCAATATTCCAAGCACACACACATTTTGTGAATAAAAAAATTAATAAAATTTATAAATTAGTGCAAAAAAACTGCTTTTCTGCAAATATCTCCGTAAATTCTCCTAAAATCCCGTATTTATCAATTTTAATTTAAAAAACAGGAAAATAAAGATATTCTTGATATAAAAAAATTATATATATATTGTTTATGTACAATATAAGAGAAAAAACTTATAAACAACAAAACATCATATTGTGACCATAAATTATTGTTAAAAAAAAACGCAAGGTAAAAATACGAGCACTTTTTCATCTATTTCCCATCTAGCAACCCCCATCTATGTCTTAAAAGCTTCAGATATCTGTGAAAAATGTTTGACCTTTTTTTTAACCAGATTTGGCTATATTGCAATATTTGCATTTGCATAACTTTTTTTAAGAAACTTTTTTGAGTAAAATTAAATAGTATTTCGTGATTTTTGTCCTAGAATATGCACAAAATTACGTCCATTTTAATGAACCAATGTAACCTCAAAAGTAAAATTGATATTTTCTTAATTATAAAGCGATTTTAATGTACCACAAAAATTAATAGAAAAAAAGTCAAGATACCTTGCAGAACTTTTACTAGAGCTTTATTTTGGTATCACCCATCACAATTTATCTAATGTTCAATGAATTATGGGACACCTTTACAGCAGGGTATACAGTGGTAACTAAAATGAACAATAAATAAAACACTACAAATGAGAAGTTGATATCCGCGTTAAAAGTCAGCTTATTTCTCTTCTCTTTTTCAGAATTTGTCAGTCTTATGAAAACTTCT